GTTGTTACTTTGTGAGGGTGAAAAGGGTAACTATTGCATTGTTCTGTACACCTGAAACTAACAATAAATAAATAAATAAATAAATAAATAAAAACCCACTGAAACCTACATTGCAATTCATGCCTTTTCTCCTTAAACAGCTGAATAGAGGCTGCCTTCCCTTTACTGAGCATCCTAAATACTGTTGACTTGTTTGTAAGAAACGTTGTCAAATGTAAACACCCTGGACTCCAAATGGAAATGAAAACAGGCTGGAAAATGCTGGCCAGTCAGCAGCTGTACCTGTTAGGAGCTGCGTGCAGAGCCCTGCAGAGTCCAGCTTTCCTTCTGCCCACGCCATCCGCGCTGGGAAGTTTCCCAGCCTCAGAATCCTCCTGACCTTAGAACTTGGAGGCTGGTTGTTTTTTGTTTTCTTTTAATCCACATTATTGCTGCTCCCTCAGCACTCATGGCCCTTCGCGATGCCACTTGGGACATCTCTTTGCCATTCATTCTAATTTATTCTGAGACGCAGATTCAGCTTATTTTTTTTTTAAATGCAGCTATGCTGCCAAGAGGGCAAAACAGCTGGTCTCTGCTTTTCACTTTGTGGATTTTCAGCACATTAGCAGTTGTAGAAGAGGGAAGATTTGCAACTCTGTTGCTTTGATGATGATGATGATGATGATGATGATGATGATGATGATGATGGCCATGATCATACTGATGACAATATCTAGCATTTCACTTAGATTATCTCTCTTAATCTTCCTAACCCTAAGAGAAAGCTACTATAATTTGTACCATACATGGTCAAATGTAGGTCAAAAAATTTCCCTAAATAAAGAATTGGGAGGCAGAATAATTCCAGCTAGTAGAGGACGCTGATATTGTTTTTCCCCCAGTGCCACACTGTCACATAAGTGTTCGAATAAATTGATTTACCATTCATCCTAGTAGGTTCACATATCAATGAGTGCATGACTTGTGCAACAGAAAATATAAATTGTGTCTTGTGTGTATACTAATAAGTATTGAGACATAGTAAGATTTCTCTTCTATTTTCTTTGACAGGCAACATTTGGAGTTTGACCTTGGAATTCTGTGTAATGAACCCATTACAAGGTTTTTAAAGCCAGAAGACGAGATGACACTTGTAAAGCCTACAGACTGGCATATGAACCAATCAGCAAATGGAAGTGTGCAGTTCACTTTCACTATCAGGTTTTTATGAAAAGTTTGTCACAAATTCAAGAGAGGACAGGGTAGCATTATAGAAATACAGAGAAGGTGAGACATCTAACTCTTTAGCCAGTTATACACACAGACACAAAAATGTAAAGTTTCTGGACTTCATGCCAGTTTTCACCCTATTGGTTCCTTTAGTACACTCATTGCCAAGTCCTGATCTCTCAGAGCTTTGTGTAAAAGTGAATGACCTTCAGCTGAAGTCCAAGTTTGTCGTAAACACTCCAAAGAGAAATGAGTTCTGCCCAAGTATGCGCTTCTGATTGTGATGATACAGGAAACAGACACTTACCTTGCAGAAAACCGTGGTGCACCTGGGCCTGGAACACCTGCTCCTGGTTCTGACCGAGACAGGCAGGTAACCGGGATGTTGTCCAGCAAAGAGCACCTGAAGTAAGCAAACGGGAAGTATCTTCTGTTAGAAAACTCAGTAAAAATATATTAAAACTCTTCAGCATGGACGATGGACGTTAAAAAGGGAATGGTCAAGGTGTTCACAGCTTTGAGCAGGTGCAGGTCTCTTTGTCACAGTGCCTGAGCTTTGCACTGACTAATACACGTGGGTTTAATCATAGCTCCACCTTTCACCACGTGGGCAAGTCGCCAGCTCATGTTAAGCACTCAGTATCTGTAACTGTTATTGTAAAGCATAGCATATTATAGCGGGTAGCTGCTTAGGTATCTCTCTTGTGAGAGTCTCGAGGATATAGACTGTCATTTATCTTTTTTTATTCAGTGGTTGGCACAGTGAAGGTGCCCAACTGTTTATTGACTAAATGAATGAATGAATCAATAACCCTACTAGCATTAGTTTACCTGAAAACCCAACGCTTTAGCTTTCAGAATACTGCTTCTGAGACTTCCCCTGGACATCAAATCCCCGAGTACTCTAGCAGCATGCCTGAACAAGGGTGTTCTTTCCCTTCCACCCAGATCGTCCCCAGGGACAAAGCTCTTATGACACTAATAAAGGGTTACTCTCTGGCCTTAGCCCAGCACAAAGCCTGGCCAGTGTGACTCACTCAGGCTGCCGCTGGCGGAGGACACCTTCAGGATCTCTCTCATCAATCCCTGCTTATTAAGTGCCTGCCCCTGAGGGGTGCCAGGGATAGCTGGTGACATGTGGTGGGAATCTACGGGCTTGGCAGGCCCAGCAGTGTACCCAAAATCCACAAATAACTTGCTCTAATAGGAGCCTGGCAGGAAACCTTTGTTCAAGCCTTTGCTGGAAGGGAGGAGGCCTGGAACAGTTCCTGTGGCCAGTGCTGGAGAAGGGGAGGGGTAGGCAGTTGTGGTGGCCAGTGATCCAACCTGCAAGTCCATCCACCAGGCAGTGATCCCCGGGATGAGGTGTTGTATTAGTGAGGGTTCTCCAGAGAAACAGAACCAAAAAGATGGGCAGATGGATGGATGGATGGATGCATGGATGGATGGACAGATAGATATCAATAGTTTATTTTAAGGAATTGGCTCATGTGATTGTAGGAGCTAGCCGGTCCAACGTCTGCAGACAGGCCAGCAAGCTAAGGCCCAGGGGAGACCTGATGCTGCAGCAGGCAGTCAGGAGACAGAGCTGCCTCTTCCTTGGGTGGTGGGGGGCTCAGCCTTTTTCTCTTAAGGTCTTCATCTGATTGGATGAGGCCCACCCACATTATGGGGTTGGGCAGGGGGGTCATCTGCTTTACTCAAAGTCTACTGGTTTAAATGTTAATTCATCTAGAAAATACTTCCACAGAAACTTCTAGAACAATGTTTGACGAAATATATGGGCACCATAAAAATAATTCCACAGAAACTTCTAGAACAATAACTGACCAACTGTACCATGGCCCGGGCAAGTTGACACATAAAATTAACCATCACAACCATACTACTATATAAAACCAGAAAACCTGAATGCTGACAGGTATGGGACCACCGCAGGGTTCTGGACAAGGACAATGGGTTCTGCCCAGCAGGGGCACAGGGACCCATGGGTGAGTCCTGTGAGGGGGCGGGGCGGACCCGCAGGGACCTATGTCTACCCCCAGTGGGGATCTCTGAGCGTGTGAGCAAGTGAACACGAGTTCATCCACAGCACAGTGGTCCCAGCTACAGCACGAGTCCACGTGAGAAATGGGACAAGCAGGTGAGGCGTCGACCGGGGAGTGGCTGTGAGGACCTTCAGGTGGGAGCTGGCTGAACAAATGAACGAGTGTGTGTGTGGGCTAGGATGGGGGGCGGGGCATGCACATGACTCTGTGGCCCCGGCCTGAACATCTGGCAGCGGGTGAAAGGGTGGAACATGACAGGAGATTCCAGAGGAAGAAACCAAGGGAGCAGGTGGGTTGTTTTCTAGCCGCGTTGAGAATGAGAAGCTTTAGGGATGTTCAGGAGGACCTGCCCAGCAGGCAGCTGAGCGGATGGCCCGGGGCTCCGCATCACGGCTGTGACAGAGTTGTGGAGAGAGGGGTTTAGGAGACATAGGAACGAAGGTCATTACTGTCGTGTCTGTGGTGAGCTGGTCAAGGGAGAAAGCACGGTGTGCGACCTGAAGGGCTCAGGGCAGGAACATGGGAGGTCTGCAATGCCCGGGGAAGGGTAGAAAGAGCCACCGGCAAAGGGGTGAGAGGAGCATCCCAGGGGTGTGAGCTGAAGCCGGAGAGGGAGGGGCGGAGGGGACTGTCACGCGTAGGAGGACTTGGGCACAGGAATGGGGTGACCACAGGGAAGAACAGGGATGGAGAGGCACCCACAGGACGGAGAGACGCAGGGAGGGCCTTCTCCAGCATCGCCTGGCGTGTGAGCAGCGACCGGGTCTGCAGGGAGATGCAGCTGGTGGGGTCTCGAGGGGTGATGCTGTGGCTTTGAACTATGAATGTAACACATGGCGACTGAATGAAAAAGGGCCCCCCGGCAGGCCTGGAAGCTCAACAACTGAAGTCACCACACAGGTTGCGCTGATCATTAAAATTCCTAAGTGAACAGGTTATAATGGGAAGTCACGTCCTAAGGCTTATATGAATCCTTACCTCGGGTAAGCCCTGTCCAGGGTTTGTTTGGATTTTGCATCTAGGATAACATATTTAAACTGTCAGAACCATCTGTTCTCCAGACCTCCACAGATAAACACCCAGTCTTGGGATGAGATGACCCCAACATTCCTCACCGTTCTCTTGTGCCGCACCCCTCTGTGACTATGCAGGTTAACATTAACTACCCTACCCCCACCGATGTAAGAGAAGTATCTCTCTCTCCTTTTACCTTGTTCTCCAAGCCCAGGGAGCACCCCGCTTTGCTTTCTCCCACCCCCTCTATCCACCACCAATGGATTCCATGTAACCCTCCTCACATCTCCTCCTCCGGTTCTAATGTATAAAATAAGCTGCAAAACTGCTGCTATTCTTTGGAGTGTTTTCAACCCTTTGAGATTTTGCTTCCGGTCTGGCCCTCAGCTCTGGCTCAGATAAACTCTTGAGACCTTTATTTAGGTTTGAAATTTCTTTTGTGACACCATCACCAGCATCCTGGGTGGTTAAAAAACGAAAACAGCACTTCAGAGCCTTCCAGGGCCAGGCTGTCTGTAACCACTTCGCGCATATTAACCCCTTTAATCCCCACAATAACCGTACCATCTAGGTTTACCTTCTCTCTAACTGTCAGCTAAAGGAGAGAGGCAGAGGGAAACTAAGTCGCTTGTCTGAGGTTGTGCAGCCGGTGGAACACCAAGCTGGCAGTGGGAACCCAGGGTCTAATTCCTAAGACACTCACGGAGCAGCTGGTTAAGATGCCACCAGGAAACTCTGTGTCACATAGATAATCTTTGTAGTGGGTTGAACGGTGCCCCACCCCCCAAGATATGCCCATTGTCCTAATCCCTGTGATGTGAATGTTACTTAATTTGGGGGGAGGGGGAAACTTTGCATATATAATTAAGGATTTGGAGCTGAGGAGATCAGTCATCCTAGTGACAATGACAAGTGTCCCTATAAGAGACAGAAGGGAAAAGACACACAGAGGGGAAAGCCACGTGAAGACAGAGGGATTGGAGGCAGAGACTGAAGCCATGCGACCACAAGCCCGGCAGCAGCAGGAGCCATTAGGAAGCCGGAAGAGACAGAAGGATCGTCCCCTGCAGCCCTCGGACACCTCGGTGACAGACTGCTCCAGAGCACCGAGAAAATACATTTCTACTGTTTTAAGTCACCATGTTTGTGGTAACTTGTTAAGGTGGCAATAAGAAACGAACAAACTTGTATCAAAACCATTCAGGATCTCCCAGAGTCTGTCCTTCCCTGATAATCGCGAGACTTGAGCAGCGCTGTTCTTGTTACCACACCTGGATCTAGGAAGTCAAGTCTCCAGGAAGTACTTTAAAATTCCACGAGCAACAGGCATTTCAAGCTGGAGCATACAACTTGGAATGTCTGAGTTCAGGATTTGCTCAGGTTCAAATGTTTACTAATTGTTTTTGTATTCTACAAATTTCACTCCCATCATTTAAACCCATGCTCATCACCCAAGATAATTCTGTGCCATAAGCCGGGGATGACTTGTCCAAGCCTCTTGCTGTCTTCTGCTGCCTGCCTCCCCCAACTGAGACTCAAAACATGCCCAGAGCACCAAAGCTGGGTCACAGAGTCCCCTCCTCGCATATGACATTGCATCCCCCAACACATTTTATACATATGGCATTGGTTACCCCAGTAGTTAAGAGTTGATTGTTGGCTCACTTTAACGCCATACCTTCTCTACATCTTAGATAGAGGTCTACTAATATGTTACCCCTGTAAAGTTGCTAACTGTCACACAAACAGTGTCAGAGGCCTATGGGTGGCATCCGTCAAGCTGAGCTACGCACATGCATTCTCAGCCAGCACGCGATCCCCCAGGGTTGCGGTTTTCTAGCCTTTACTCTTTCTTACATGTTAATCTCCAGCCTGCTGATCTGAGTATAATGTATTACAGAAGCATGCTCATCACAGAAATTATCCAACTTTGTTCTGATTAAAAGTATAAATAACAGGGCCGGCCGAGTGGCGCGATGGTTAAGAACTGGCTTGGGATGCCAGAGGGCCCCGGTTCGGATCCCACATATGAGGGCCAGTGACACTGCCCTCTACAGCTAAGATGCTGAACAGCAGCTCAACCTAGAGCTGGGCTCCCGTGAGTCACCGGCGATGGCATAGGCTGCAGCCCCTGTGGCAGTGGGTTGCCATGGGCTACCGTATGTAGCCAGCAGCCAGCGTGAGTGTCTAGCAGCTGCCGTGAGCGGCCGTCCAGAAGCCGGTGACTGATCTGCCTCGCCCGGGAAGAGCACAATGATGGTGCCAACTTGGGCCAGTGAAGCAACGTCCTCCACAATTAGACTGAAGAACAAAAGGACAGCAACTTGTCTGTACCCCTTCCCCCAATTCCCCAGCACTGTTCCCATCTCCCGAATTCCCCAATAAAAATCTTTAAAAAAAAAAAAGTATAAATAACATTCTTTTTTGCATAATCATGACAGTAAATTGAACTAAAAAAAATGCCTGGCCACTATATTCTCAAAGGACTTTTGCACTTAACATATAAACCACTCTGATCAATAATCTATCCTAGGATATACACTTTATCATGGCTTCTCTAATCATTGCTGGCTTTTAACATTCCCTGTTTTCTAAATTGCAGATGAACTCTCATTCCTTGAAAGGGTTCATTTACACTTCTCAAAACTTATGGCTATTTATAGATACTGAATTGGGGGCAGGGACCTTTTTTTTAAGCTAACAAATATTAAGGAATCTATGGCAGGCATTTTTACATATATTAGTGTAATTAATTTTAGAAATCTGTTTCTCCTTTTTATTATAACTTGGCTCCTTGGCCTCATTCTTGTATTCTTGTCTCTGTAACAGGTTATTTCTTTATGGGATCCCGCTGGGTGGAAACAGTGATCCCCCACACACAGGTTGGCCAGAATCTCTCCATGAGTGCTGATTGATTACTGCATGCAGTGACCCAGGGTTGGCTTACTCAGATATGAGTCAGACACACTCTGAAAAGTCCCCTCAGGTCATGTCCTAGGAGAACCTGAGGATGCCCTGGCATGTGTGAGAGAGTGAATGTGTGTGTGTGTGTGTGTGTGTTGTGTAGATGTGAATGTGCGTGCATTTGTGTATATTGTATATCTGTGAATATGTGTGACTGTTAAGAAAGTGTATATGTGTGTACATGTAAATGTGTGCACAAATGGGTGTGTGTGTGATTGTATGAATGTGAAAACGATGAGTGATTATATGTGAGTGTGTAGATATGCGTATGTGTGAATGTGTGTATAAGTGTGCATGTATGTGGCATGTGTGTGTGTGTGTGTGTGTGTGTTGGTGGGGATGTTCAAAGCGAAGTCACAAGCACTTAGTGATAAATAATCTTTAAACAGTTTTTTCTTCACTCAACAGCAAAGGTGACAAGAAGCCCCTTGGCTTCTAGAAATCAAAGCAGGGGGTTCATGGTCTCTTGCAAAACTGAGGCAGCCTGCACCCTTGGCATGGACAGGAAAGGCAGGAAGCTTCCGGGGTGGGGTGGGCTGGAGGGAGGCGGAGACATCAAGGGCTTGGATTCAGAACCCAGAGCTTGGACCAGCACAGGATCTCCAGGGAGCAGAGGAGAGTTTGGCTTGGTAGAGAAATCTTAGTTGAAAGTCATTTTCCTTCCAAACTTGGAAGGCACCACTCCATCATCTTTTAGCATCCACTGTGGATAACAACAGGTCTTATTTCAAGTTGATTCTCATTTCCAGAAAGAGTCTTTCTGCATTCTTGGTTTTCTGAAAAATTTCAGGAATGTGTCTGGGCCTAGGTCTTCTAGTCACAGAACTGAGAGCTCAGTGGGCTTTGTCAATCTGAACGCTGTTGCCTTTTAATTCTGGAAAATTCTCAATGTCTCTTTTTTATAATATCCCATCCACTCATTTTATTTCATTGACTCCTATTAGTCACATAATGGACCGCATGCACGGGTCCTCCATATCTTTAATTGTTTTCTCTTATATGCTCTGTCTCTATTGTTATTCTCTTGCCTGAGAGATCTTTTTCTATTTTATCTTCCAACCCTTCACTGATTTTTTCTTTTTTTAGTTTTATCAATTATCTTTTATTTCAACAGCTTTTTCTCATTTTCTGATTGCTCCCTTTTCTTGTTTAACAGAAGCAGTGTATCTTGAATCTCTGAGAATACAAAACAATGGGGGTTATCACATACACAGCAAAGTATTCTTTTGTTCCCCATTATTAGCTGTTTGCTCTAGTATATTTCTTTTTCTTTCTTTTCCTGTTCATATACCTTGGTTCTCTCTGGTCACTGGCAGGGCTTTCCTTGTCAACTGCTCCCTATTTACCATTCTCAGAGAAGCGCAAAGCTTCCTGTAAGCTCAGTAAATGCAGATGGAACTAACTTGCTTTGTTTGGCTGACGATGGTGGGAGGCAGGCATTATACTTTAGGACCCTAACTGCAAGAAGGCAGAGTGTTTTGCTTGGGAAACCAGTTCCTGCAACTATCTACCTGAGTTCTCTCCATACAGTTCACTAAAAGTCTACAGAAAATCATTCTACTTTGAGGGAGGGAGGTGGATGAGGTCATGGGGATCGTTTGTGTTTGCTGTTATTATTGTTGCTGGTTTTTACACTAAGAAATAAATTCCTGGATAGTTCCGGATAATCCCATCTTTGGGAAGATGCACTATTTGGTCCTTTAAAAAATGCAGCAGGGCCGGCCGAGTGGCGCGATGGTTAAGAACTGGCTTGGGATGCCAGAGGGCCCCGGTTCGGATCCCACATATGAGGGCCAGTGACACTGCCCTCCACAGCTAAGATGCTGAACAACAGCTCAACTTGGAGCTGGGTTGTCATGAGTCGCCGGCGACGGCGTAGGCTGCAGCCCCTGTGGCAGTGGGTTGCCATGGGCTACCGTGTGTAGCCAGCAGTCAGCATGAGCGGCCAGCAGCTGCAGTGAGCGGCCGTCCAGAAGCCGGCGACTGACCTGCCTCACCAGGGAAGAGCGCAATGATGGTGCCAACTTGGGCCAGTGAAGCAACGTCCTCCACAACTAGATTGAAGAACAAAAATGACAGCAACTTGTCTGTTCCCCTTCCCCCAATTCCCCAGCACTGTTCCCATCCCCCCAATTCCCCAATAAAAAAAAAATCTTTAAAAAAAAATGCAGCATATCCTGCAACCATGTCAAAATCCCTTACAGTAACAAAGAAAGGAATTGAATCAGATGCTTCTGTTAAGTCCACAAAACCAGTAGAATTCACACCCAGACTGAAAATTGGTCCAGCCTACTCAGGTCATGATGAAACTGAAATTTCTATGACATCCTTGATGAGTACAAAACCTGCAGTGGTTTCTGGCATGCAAAGACTGAAGCCAAATGAAACAGAACTCTTCGGTCTTATCAAAATGGGGATACAGTCTGCCCTCAAATGCATGTTTCTACGATTCATGGCTCTCCCTGGCTTCTTTATATCAACACTCCTCAAATTGTGTACAAAACCAGATAGCTTTACTTCCTACTGGGCAATCTTAAAAGTACACTGCCTTAGTAATCACCTGGGTAAAGTTCTAATTTTAGAGATGAAGAAACTGAAGCCTAAGCAATGTTTTGAAGTGCAATATCAAAGGTCACACAACCAGCTGCTGAGATAATAAAAGAAGAAACGTGGGATTAAAGTGAGAAGGCCTGTGTCTGGCTCCAGTTTTGTTGGTCTGGATTGGCCAATATATTGGCTGGAATGTGTTTCTGGTAGGTTAATATGTAAACATGAGTCCTGGTAGCAGAAATTCGTGGTGTTCTAAGTCCCAACAGATC